CATAACTCATTTGCATATGCCACACCCCTTGACATCACCGGAAGTGTATCAGAAGGCAACACCCACCACTCAGGCTCCACTAGACTTCTTTTGGATGGTTAGCTATTGGGGGGGGGGAACGCGCAGATCTGCCCTCACAGAGGAGGGAGAGCTCGTACCTGAAGGCAGGCCGAGGAGGGGGGGGGGCTCTGCAACTTACCTGGCTGCTTCTTGCTCCTCATGGCCTGGGGCTGCTGGGAGCAGGGGGCGGGGCTCGTTGCATGTGCCCGCCCCCCGGGCTCCTTACTGCCGGAGCTCCACTCCTGTGCGCTCCCGCAGGAAATGACCCCTGCTTGTGGGGTTTTCGAGGCGAGAGACAAACAGTTGGTTTGCCATCGCCTGATTTTCCTTGGTGGCCTCCCATCCAAGCACTAAACAGGGCTGATGCTGCTTGGCTTCAAAGATGGCGCTAGCCTGGGCCATCCAGGTCATGGAGGCGGTACACAAGGCCATCTCTACTGCTGCCCAGGCTCCTGTCCTCTATTCAGTTTGCCATCCTTGGATTTTGACCCCCAGCTCCACTCAACTGGCCTTCAGAACTTCCATCAGCCTTGAACAAATGGTGTATGGACCGTGCCCATTCCTCCCAGCCACCAAGCCTTCCACAGAAGAATCTCCATTCTTCATCTCTGCGGAGCTGTGAAACCTTGGTCTTAACTTATTACCTTGTGATATTGCCAATGCCCTCCTCCACCCCACTGAACACTTGCCCACAACCTTCTGCTTATCTTCTGTTTGTTTCCTGTCATCAGTAGCACCCAACCATCAGCGACTGTCCATTCTCAGTCCTCATTTTGGCAGGATTAGAAACCTGAAAGGAGGGGAAAGTGACAGAGCTGGACCACACAGGATCTGGAAGCATGGGTGGAATGCTTTTGTTTTGAGAAGAAGCAGGCCTCTAATCCTCTTTGATTAATGAGGAAAGCTTGAAATGTGCTTAGGCCTGAGAGGGCCTGAATAGGGGACTTTTAGCCAGGGAGGAGGAGCCGTGGGCAGCAGCTGCTCACCTTGGCCTGGTGGGGAGAAGGGCGGACGCCCTGGCCACAGGTGCCCAAAATCCCTGGGCCAGCCCTGCCACTGTTCATCCCTCCCTACCTCCCAGTCGCTGCCTTTCTTTTCCTTTCGCACCCATCAGAGGAAAAACTCATACTTCACAACTGGAAAATTAGGCAAATTAATTCAATGTATTATGCAAATATGCACAATTTATTCATCGTAGAATTTGGAGATGTTCTGATACGTAAGCACTCTCCCCACCCCAGCATTCATTCCCGCAACCCCCTCCACTGACACATCCCCCTTCTCCCGGCTTACAGGAAGATCTCTTGACCATCCACTCCCTCGGCGATACCTCCATCCACCCTCTCCAACAGTACAGCCTTCCTCAACCAGTCAGTTTCTCTCCCCACTTCCACATTTTTTAAAAACATTCCTATTCCCTTTTCCTTCATCCATCCACCTCTGACCACTTTCAGTCCCTCCCCAAGAAATATTATCCTATATTGGGAAATCGGGGGTTATTTTTTTTTTTAAGTCTATCCTTTTTTTTAACCCTTCGCTTTCATTTGGGCAGATCAAAAATTTGGCACAGTTCCCCCTCCCCACACACACTTTTAAAATGTGACTTACGTAGAGGGGATATAATGCAGCACTTATGGCCTCTTGCATTCCTCAGTGTGGCCCAAGAAGGGGATTTGAAACTAGTGTGTGAGCCATTATCACTGAACAAGGGCATCAACTTCAGTCTTGGCAGGCGGAGAGCCGAAATCCACCCTAGACCCACAGACTTAATGGAAGGTCATGAGGCCTGACGCCATGGCAGATGGGCATACTGTTCTGATCTGGAGTATGGATTTCCCCGTCTTGGTGTTTTTGAGATTCAGCAGTTCCTCTACCTGCTAAAATCTTAAAAGCAATTGATTATTGCGATCAATAAGGGCCGGTCTAAATCAATCTTAAACGGATCGGAGACAGCATTTCTCTGGGGAAGAGGGAAACGGCTCAGGTGAGAGGCATCATACCTTACAGTCAAGGTTCCTCACAGTGTGAAGCAATGACCCAGCAGAGGCATGGGGCAGCTGGCGTCGAGAGTGTGGAACTTGGAAAAGGAAACAGAAGACTGGCACGGCTTTGTTCATGGCTTCACAATCAGAAGATGCTTCACTTGGGATCCTGCCAGGCTTTCCCTTTCCTTTTGGTTACTTCCATTGGAACGGCATGCCTCGTCAGCGACCTACGGGACTCTAGGCGATGGAATGTCACAATGGCAGCTAGCCTTCAGGCCAGCGGTCGCTACAGTAAGGCATCAGGAAATCTCGATCCATGGATTTGGGCAGGCAGATTCCTCGTGCCTTTATTCTTCATCCAGCCACAGGCCTGTTCTCTGCTTCACTGGGTCGCCACCTCTGCACATGGCCAGAAGATTGCACTGCAGGCACCTGGTTACCATGGCTCAGGTATCACAAAGGACCAATGGTTCTATGGCATCCCCTGGCTCTGTCAGGTCACTTGTCTTTGAGATGGAGGCTGGAATTTGATGGGTCTGCACACACTCAGCTCCTTGCCTCTCAGCTCCTCTGTTCACCCCTGACTGCCACAGACCAGGGATAAACAAAGCGATATTCCCATGATGCACTGCTTGGGACATCTGGATGGTCACTATCCTTCGGCATTGGTGTGACCCAGCATGGTAATACGTACATTCCTATTTGTATTGGGATATACTAGTAGAAGCTGCCAGTTGAGTATCTGTTTCTTTCTCCCTGACCTATATGTTAGCAGTCTCAAAATGATCTTTTTTTGATTGGCGTAGGTAGGTTGGGGCAAAGACCCTACGATGCCAGTGGGGGGGGGGGGGATGACCGTATATCACACCTATTAAATCCAACCTTCCTACTAAAGCTGACCTCCTGCACAGTAGACTCAATACAAGTCAGCAATGGACCGAAGACAAATAGGAATCTTATGGAACCTTAAGGACAAACAGATTTATTGTGGCAGAAGTTTTGTAGACTAGAGTCCCCTTCTTCAGATGTACGTATCCTCAGATTCCCACGTAAATCTGCACCCCTTGCATTTTGCTGTCTTTGGGCTACGGTTTCTAATCTTGTTCCTCTGAATGGCTGTATAGGTATGTATCTGCCAAATGAGGATAACGCTTCATGTATCTGATGCTGTTAGCTCTAGTTCACAAAAGCTTAGGCCAGCATAAGTCTTTGAGGCGCCACAAGACTTCCTTTTTTCCTGTTTAATGCAACCCGCTAGCATGCCTTCCCCCTTTGGAATTTGCGAACAATATGCTCTTTGTAGACTGGTTAATATTTTCCACAGAGGCTGAAGCGCGAAGGGATCAGGTAGCAGTCATTGGGGTCTAATCCCTTCCCTGCTATAAGGCAAGATCATGCACATATCGGCCGCCCCCTCCCCGAGATAAACCCACATAACCTCTCTACCCCAATGATCCTTTTCTTCCCTTCCAAATCTGTCCACACAGCACACCACACAACCCCAAAAGCAGGAATAGACCAGACCCATCATCTCAGGGCTTCCACAACGGGTTGCCAACTCTGGGAGATTTGGGGGGGTGAAGCCTGGGGAGGTGAGAGCCTGGGGAGGGGGGGGATCCCAGCAAGGTATAATGGCATAGAGGCTTCCCCCCTCCCCCACAAGCAGCTATTTTCTGCAGGGGAACTGGTCTCTGTAGCCCAGAGAGCCAGTGTAACTCTGGAGGTTGACCCACCTGGAGGTAGACAACCCGAGCTCCCACACGGCTAAAAACCTCCACAGGATTCCTAACATTTCTAATCTCCCATGTTAACATTCCCCAAACAGCTTGCTTCTCTTCGTACTGTGCTTTGGGTACAGTGGGCTAGTGGCCAATCTCTGGGAAGACCTGTTAAGCCCAGAAGCTTTTACTAACCTCCCAGAAGGGACTGGGAAGGTCAAGACTGGTCAATCCCATGAAAAGGCATTCGTCTTGAGCCCCTCTCAGTATGAGCTATGGCCAGTCTCCCAAGTAGGACAAAATGCAAGGCTCTCCCATCAACCACGGTTGTCCAGTACAGCCCCCATGTCACACGAGTGGGGTGACCTGTTCGGCATGCTCCCTTGACTCTTCATCTGTCAGCCAATGGAGACCAACTTAAAATCATATCATTTTCAAAAAAGTAAGACGTGTGGATCATCCCCTTGGCAAATAAAGGTCCCCACCCAACCAAATCATACTGCCTGGCTGACTCAGTTCAGCTGTCCCCTCATAAATCCGGGGTAGTGGATCCAATGAGGTCTTGTCCATCTTGCCGGTGAGGTTTTGTCCAAGGCTTAAATCAATGGTCTCCCCCCCTCCCCCCAATACAATGCTGGTTAAAAGGGGAGGGGCACCAGCCCATTCAGTTCCATTTGGCACAGAAGGGGTTAAATTGGCAGTCCCGTTCCACATTCCAGGGTGCAGCTGATGAGATTCGAGAAGATGCAGAGGGGCTGGTCAGAGGCAACTTCCTGGACGTTTCCATTCCCCCCCCCCGACCCCCACCCTCTCAATTTGGCACAGAGGGTCCTTATAAGGGACATATCAGAGAGCGGAAGGGAGGCAAGGAGGGAGAGGGGTTATACATTCAATAGCCAGTGCGGGGCAAGGGCCCCTAAAACCGAGGCCGCGCCTCCCTCATCCCTTGGTGGCCCGTGATTGTTCGTACAAAAAGTTCCACGCTTCGCCACCCCCAAGCGGGACACATGGATGGGCCGGAGAGGGAGGAGGGCCACTGTCCGCGTATCTCAGGCTCCCTTTGGCGAGGACAGCCCCACCCCATGCACGCAAACGCACGCCACACGCACACAAATGCATCTGTCTCTCCGTCCGCCACAGGAACTCGCGTGTGGTCTCCTGGCAAGTCAACTGGATGACTGGGCGTCGTCCCCACATCTTGAAACGACGGGCAGAGCTATCTCACCCGGACGTCATCTCAGTTCTCAACGGGGTCTGGAAGAGAAAAGAGGGGGAACGTATTTTTAACTGGGAGGGGCGCTCTCTTTACTCTCGGGTTTATTCTATGTGCTTTATTAGCTGTTGCTTGCAACTGGGAAGGCAATTTCAAAAAGAAACAGAAATTTCAAATTTCAAAAAGAAACTGAAGGCAAATGAAGCACTGAGAATCGACTAATCAGCACCATGAAATGGGAGAGATTTTGAGAACTGTGTGCATGGAAGATTATCCCAAGTTCTACCCCCCCCCCACACACACACACACCATCCCATCTTCTTGGGACACTATACTTTCCACACCCTCAGTAACAGCCCAGTTCTAGGCATATTTACTCAGTTCAATGGGGCTTACTTCTTAGTAAGTGTGTGTAGAACCACACAGTAAACTTTCTTGGAAGGGAAAAGCAAACAAGGTTTCCTCAGTTCCAAAATGGCTGAAGTGTGTGTATATAGACCTGTGTGTCTAGTGAGGCTAACCGCCTCTGTCTGAGTTCACTAACTAAAAAAAACCCACACAGTGTCCCTCTAAAATCAGCTCCTAGAAATACAGGCTTATGAAATCTTATGAATAATTTTTAAAACTCTGAACTCCTCAGGGCAGGCAGCAGTCTTCTTGTAGACTGAAAAGCAGTAAGTACATTGAAAAGCAGTAAGTAAATTTCAGCTATGCTCCTGCAAAGTGCAGGGGGTTGGACTAGATGACCTGCAAGGTCCCTTCCAACTCTAACATTCTATGATGGTGCTATATAAAGAATAAAAGAATTTGCTGCAAAGTCATGGCTGACTTATGGCAACCCCCACAGGGTTTTCAAGGCAAGAGACATTCAGAGGTGGTTTGCCATCACTTGCCTCTATGTAGCGACTACTGGACTTCCTTGGCAGTCTCCCATCCAAATACTAACCAGGGCTGACCCTGCTTAGCTTTGAATGATCTGACAGGAATGGGATAGCCTGGGCCGTCCAGGTCAGGGCTGGACAAAAAATAATAATAATGAACGTACAATATCTAGCACATACAGAATATATTGTGAAGGAATGAAAACAAATCCAGTGCTGCTATTTCTTCAAATTACTTTTTATATATTGTGTCAGATGGAGTTCAGTATGGACAACGTTACACTGATAGAGAGAAGAAGAGAGAGAAGATATTGGATTTATACCCCATGGCCCTTCACTACCCAAAGGAGTCTCAGAGCGGCTTACAATCCCTTTCCCTTCCCCTCCCCACAACAGACACCCTGTGAGGTAGGCGCCGAGACTGAGAGAGCTCTTCAGAGAACTGTACTTGAGAGAACAGCTCAGAAAGAACTTATGACTGACCCTAGGTCACACCATTAGCCGCATGTGGAGGAGTGGGGAATCAAACCTGGTTCTCCCAGATTAGAGTCCGTGCTCCTAACCACTACACCAAACTGGCGCACATGCTCTGTTGAATCCCTGGTGTCTCCATAGCCAGCTCCATCATCCAGAGGCTTGAAGCAACTTCCTCTTTTGCTCTAGAGCAGTGATGGCGAACTTTTTAGAGACCGAGTGCCCAAACTGCGACCCAAAACCCACTTATTTATCGCAAAGTGCCAACACAGCAATTTAATCTGAATACTGAGGTTTTACTTTAGAAAAAAAAACAACTCATACATTAACTTAAGATGCTCCAAACAAAGTAAGGAAAGCAATCCCAAATGCTTTCATTTACTTAAAATTATTTGGCAGAGAATTCAACACTTTAATGATGGTCTGGGCCTGGCTGGGGCGATGGCACACGTGCCCACAGAGAGGGCTCTGAGTGCCACCTCTGGCACCCGTGCCACAGGTTCGCCACCACTGCTCTAGAGGGTGTTGTCATCCCACTCACGGACCAAGGTTTCCATGGGTTAAAGATCAGAGGTGGTTTCCTCATGCCAAATTACGTCATCGAATATACATATCCCCCAGTGCCGGATCCGGTCTTCCTTCCTCACAACCTGGAAGCGCCACCATCTGGATAAGAACCCTGAAGGTCCACAGCTACTTACCAGCCGTGGTTCCCAATTCAGTGTCACAGGTCGGAGACAGATGTGGCTCCAGGGCAGGAGAGACGGTGAAGCGAGAAAACCTCAGGGCATCGACGAGGCTGGAATCGGCCCTCTTGGCTGTTGGCAACAGTGCGGGGGCCATGGGCACTGGTGAGGACAAAAGAGTGTGGGGCTTGGCAGAACTGGGGTCGGACACCATGGAGACGTACGATGGGTTCTGGGCCATCAAGGGAAAATCATCATCCCACTCAAAACTGCCACCTGAGTGGTGAAGGAAGAACAGGAAAGGTAAACAAGATGGAGGGAACTCAGGCCTTGACCTGAGCCACAGCTCAGCCTTTAGAGCCAGTCCTCTCCTTGAGGGGAAGGATTATGAGCCTCGCTATATGCAGGGCTCTTTTTGTAGAAAAAGCCCAGCAGGAACTCATTAGCATAATAGGCCACACCCAACAGCAGAAACTCATTAGCATATTAGGCCACACCCCTGACAGCACCGCTCATTAGCACATTAGGCCGCACCCCCGTGTTACCAGAAGTGTGGTTATCCAGCCACACCCACCTTTTGCTTGTTATTCTGTTTACCTTGTTTGTTGTCAAAACCCAGGGCTTTTTTGTACCAGGAACCCTTTGCATGTTAGGCCACACACCCCTAATGTAGCCAATCCTAATGAGTTCCTGCTGTTGGGTGTGGCCTATTATGCTAATGAGTTCCTGCTGGGCGTGGCCAACTTGGGAGCCGGCCGGAACTCCGTTCCTGTGCGTTCCTGCCCCAAAATAGCCCTGGCTATATGTTACATTCTCCTCATGTCCTCCTCAGGTCCACCAAGAGTACTTTGGATCAGATCCGTCTTGCAAGTTCTGTGCTTCAGCACTCAGGGGCCCAATTCAGATTGGGACTGAATGGAGAGGAAGCTTCAGCCTCCTTCCTTTCCCCACACGGCTTTCCAGACCTGAAATGGTCCCAAGGAGCCGCTACAGGTCCCACTGGTGAACTTTACGTGTAACCCAAGAGTACAATGAAGTGTCCCTAATGGGGCAGACAGCAACAATAATTCTCACCAGGGCTGTTTCAGGTTATGAAAATGGAACAGGGAGAAGGCCAAAGCCCCCTCTTCCCGGAGGCCTGATCCAAAGTGTGCCCTTGTGGGCCTAGGACTTGAGTTGTGAGCACAGAACACATCATCCAAAAGTCTTCATGGCTGACCTGGGGAAGATGGAAGGCTAAGTTAACAGGCTCGTTGCCTGTGCTCTCTTAATTTTACATCTGATGTGAAAAGTCCAAATGAGCCTTTGTTCCCTCCAGTTTAACTTATCCTCACACTGTATCTGACTGCAGTGAACCAGAGAAAGTAATAACCTATGAAGAACCTGGAGTTGCCAAGCTCTAGGTGGGGCCTGGAGATCTCCTGGAATTACAGCTGTACTCCAGGGTACAGAGATCAGGTCTCCTGGAGAAAATGGCTGCTCTGGAGGGTGGAATCTACGGCACTGGACTCGGCTAAGGTCCCTCCCCTCTGCAAACCTCACTCTGGCAGCCCTAGAAGAGCCGACAACCCTAGGGGAGCTTTCACACCAAAGACACATTTTCCCACAGCAACATTTTCCCACAGTGGCCAACGAAATACCTCAGTGAAGGCCGCAAATGGCATGAAGATAACCGCCTTCCTCTGCCATTTGTGCCCCCAGCCCAGCAACTGACATTCAGAGATATACTACCCATGAACATGAAGGTTCCGTTTAGCTGCTATGTCAAAAGGGCCCCTGACAGACTGTTCTCGCTACTTCCCTTCTGGTGAAGTTACTTCCTCTTAGGCTACATGGTTGGCCTTCCTCATTTCCCATTGGTCATTCCAAGACTTGTCAGAAGGGTTGGAAGGTGCCCTGCTTATTCTTTCCTCCTTGCCCCGATACTCACTGAAACCATCCGCTGATGGGAAGCTATCAAGTCCAGGTTCTGTGATTGCGCCAGGTGAGGGGGCTTCACCATCTGGGGCTCCCTGTGAACTCAACTCATTGGTGGGTGTCTCCTGCATATAGGAAATGACACAGCAGTGGTAAAGCCTCATCCCTTCACCATGGGCTCCTCCCCATATGGCTCTGACCCCAACCTTTTAACCCCACCGTTTCTGCCTTTATGCGAAGTCTGGCTATGGCTTGTCATCTGCATGGGAGATCTCCTCGTGACAGTTTCAGGGGCTTGTGATCACGAAACTGTCTAGCTGCTCAGGAGAAAACTGTCACCCATAGAATGATGGCAAACAGTTTCTGGGAGGAAAGGGGAGGTCTGCCTAGGTGTGGACTCTGAACCAAGTCTGGTTGGGTGTGTGTGTTATGTGGACAGGCGAGGAAGCTGAGGTCTGGACATTCGAGGTGAAGAGGACAGCCCAGGAATCAGGAGACGGAGACGTGAGGAACCAGAGCTAAGGTGACTGAAAGGAGGAGAGAGTCGGCAGCTAGTATACAAGGAGGCCCTCCGAGAAGCCTCCCTCACCCTACTGAGGCCCCCAGTGGCAGGCTCGTAGCTACAGTGGGGCGTTTGGGGCCCCGGCCCCCTGACTTCCTGCCAAGGCCCCACAACTTCCATCTAGCCCCGCCGCCCCGCTGCCCTCACCACCCCTTCCCCAAGTGTGGCTTGCTTCCCCGCCTGGAGCCCCTTGCCCTGCCATGGGAGGCCTCCGTGGATGAGTGGCTGCCTGCCCCAACTGCTCCTGCTTGCTCCAGCTGGCAAAGCATGAGTTTTTAAAAACATTTCTTTTAATTATTTTTATTTTTGTGACGTCAGTGCCCCCCCGACTGATTTGAAGGCCCCCTGAACGACAAAATCCCGTGGGCACACCCCCTGCCCTGCTCCTCAGAGCTCACCTGATCAAAGAGGTAGACAGTGACGTCGTCGAAGAAGGAGACCATCTTCCGCTTGCGGTCGAGCTCCGCCGCAGCCTCCTCAGCGGAGCGGGGCGACTTGAGGAGGCCGCGCAGGTTACGGGCGTCGTCGCTTTCGCTCACCACGATCGGGACGCTCCTCCCTCCCCCTCCAGCCAAGCCTCCTTCCTCTTCCTCGTCGGCATCTTCCTCCTCCTCTTCCTCGGCTGCTGCGGCAGCTTCTCTCCCTCCCAGGGTTGGCCCTTCCCCCAGAGCAGCCCCTTCCCAAAAGGGCCCTTTCCTGCCCCCGCCGGGCGGAGGGAATGTCTGCAAGGCCAGAGGGGGAAGAGAGAGAGACAACCTGGACAGCTTGGCTGGAGGCAAAGGTCCAAAGCCGAAAGGGGGCAGGCAGGAGGGATGGAGAGAAGAGGTTGGGGGGTGCAGGAAAGGTAAATGGTGTGGGAGCAAGGGAAGGAGGGGAGGGTCGGAGGGAGAGAGACAGGAGGAGAGTTATTTCACCAAAAACGTGCCCCTATGATCCCTGCCTAAAATATACCTGCATATAACGTCTCCTAAGTACTATGCCAAAATCTGATGAGATTAAATGCAACAGCGGCCTTAGGACAGAAGGAGAGCCCTGGCGAATTAGAATAAAAAACAGGGGTTTTTTTTGTAGAAAAAGCCCAGCAGGAACTCATTAGCATAATAGGCCACACCCAACAGCAGGAACTCATTAGCATAGTAGGCCACACCCTGACAGCACAGCACATTAGCATATTAGGCCACACCCCCATGTCACCAGAAGTGTTGTCATCCAGCCACACCCACCTTTTGCTTCTTATTCTGTTTACCTTGTTTGTTGTCAAAACCCAGGGCTTTTTTTTGTAGCAGGAACCCTTTGCATGTTAGGCCACACACCCCTAATGTAGCCAATCCTAATGAGTTTCTGCTGTTGGGTGTGCCCTATTATGCTAATGAGTTCCTGCTGGGCGTGGCCAACTCAGGAGCCAGCCGGAACTCCGTTCCTGTGCGTTCCTGCCCAAAAATAGCCCTGCATCTAATCCAGAACACTGTCTCCAATGGGGGCCCAGACAGAAGACGCCAACTTTCTTCCCCCATCAACTGAGACCCGTCCCCCGTGAATTTGTCCAACTCGCCGTTAACGACACCTAAACCCACAGCAGCAGATTCCATAGGTCTGCCCCTGAATCTGTTGCCCAGCAATTTTATTGGGTCGCAGTGAGCCCCGAAATTGTGAGAGCAAAAAAAAGAGCATCTCTGCGCCATTCATAATTTTATAAATCTCTATTGTACGTCTCTCTCCCAGCCTTCCTCCCCCCCACCAAACATCAAAGCCCCAAATATTTAGCTGTTCCTCGCAGGGGAGGTGCTCCAGCCCCCCTGAGCCCCTCTGCTGCTCTTTTCGGGGCTGGGGAGAGCAGGGCAGCCGGAACGGCATGCAGAATTCCAAAAGGGGCTGCACCACAGGGTGGTTTATTGGCCATGCATGGATGGTGACACTGGCCATGGTTGTATGTTTGGGATTTCCCCCCCAGAATGTCACAGGCATCCTGCTCTTTTAACTAATAACAGAGATGGAGGCAGACAAACAGCGACTCCTATGAGCCTCGTTTCTCCTCCCCTTTCCCAGCACGTCTTGCCAGTGCTTTAAAGCCACTGACTCCGGGTTAAGCGACAAGGCGGTTCCTTTCCACACGGCTGTTCATCAACCCTCCCTACACCTCCGTCCCAGACTTAGATGGGTTCCCTACCTTTGATATCTTCTCCAGCTTGGTTTATGGGAGCGACATATTGTCGTCTTGTGCATCCCGCAAGTCTTCCATATCGGACACAGTTACATTTTGGGCCCCCATCTGTCCTAGCTCCTCCTCTTCTTTCCTTTCCTCTTCCTCCCAGTCTGGAGGCACTTCTTCAGGTTCTTCACTTCCCACCACATCCTCCAGGTGCGCCTGTTGCTCCTCTTCCTCCTTTGTGTTCTCCTCCACACCCTCCAGCGGCTGAGACTCCATGGTGTCTCCGTTGTGGCTTTCCTTGGCTTCCTCCTCTACGTCTATCTCGTGCCCCTCCTCTGGCTCCAGGCTCCACAGCTTGATAACAGCCTGATCCTTCAACGGGGCAATGGGAGAAAGCACCCGTGTTGGTATTCCCTGACTACAGAGAAGGTTGCGCGTGACGTTTTCTTGCAACGTGACCAACAGTTGCTCCTTGCACACTTGAACCACAAATCCTCCATCCACAATGGTCTTCTCAGTCGGCTCCTCCCCCTTGTTTCCAGCAGCCGGCGCCACAGTGGGCTCTGCCTCCCCATCGGAGAAGTAGGCGGAGTCACGGTGAGGTGTGGCTGATCCTAAGCTCCTCCCTAACTCTTCCTCTAGCTCCAGCCCTTCCTCACTCACGGACAAGGTAAGGTCACTGGTGGACTGGGAGATTGGTGTTGCTGGAAGCTTGTCCGAACCTTCTTCCACTTCTATCTCTTCCTCCTCTCCAGAAGTTGTTGGAGGTGGCGGTTCCTCTTTGAATATGAACTCCGGTGAGAAGGTGCTTTCTGTTTCATACCCACTGTCACCAAATTTTTGCCCTGGAGAGGAATAATGGGATGCTGGGCTGCAGACATCTGAGGAACTGGTGTTTGAAGGAATGTCCAAGGAATCCACAGAGTCTAGGGTCCCCCTTTGCCGCTCCGGTGCCGCTGGGGAGAGGCTAAGGGTTGGCGGACCAGTGGAGAATCCATCAATGGCTTCCGGGAGAATGGCAATCGTCTCCTCGTCATTGGTCTCGGCCAGAGTGGACAATGGCGGTATTTCTATGGGAACAATCACATTGCAACATCCAGAGGACAGAGCTGGGAAGGGCGATCCGGGTGGGCGGGTGCTTCCTCCCCCTCTTTGTTTTGGGTAGTCCTGGAGTTCGTATGTCTTCACAGCAGCACCCATGAGCGGGTCGTAGAATTCACCGTGTTCTCCGCCATCGCCATCGCAGTCCCTGGGGGGCAGGATAGGACAGTCAGAGAGCGAGCCCCGCTCCACTTTCAGCGAGGAGTCGTCCTCGGTGCCGTAGCTGTCGCGATGAGGACGCTGCAGGGGCGGGCCGTGGTTGCTCCAACCGCTCACCACATCCCCCCGGGGAACGGCACACGTGCAACGTGCCCGGCTGCACAGCGGGCACGGCAAGAGGTTACGGCGCCCACCCCCGATGCTGCTGCCTCCGTCGTCGGTGCTGCTGCCGGAACTCTGGTCCTCCATCAGCGAAGGTTCCTGCTCCCACGAGGGCGACCCCTGGAACTCCGAGGGGTCCCCGGCCAGCGTCTCCCCTGCCCCTCGTTCTTCCAACATCTCAGCATCCCAGCTACGCTGCTGGTCCTCCAGCTCTCGATACACAGTGAGGAGAGACTCGGCTAGGAATGCCTCACCCCCGGCGTTTGGCGTCTCCGTCAGCGACGTCTCCTGGATCTCGCCGTCCACGCGGAAGGGGTTGCTGTCACCGCTGCCACCGGCCAAGAAGGGGTTGGTGCTGGACTGCTCCTGTGGCCGATAGGGGGCGCTGCGGCAGTCCCAATCGGAGGGGAAGAGGGGCTGGGGTGGGGAGCCGGGACTGGGGGCGCAAACCGGCCCCTCGCCGCCGCCGTGGTCCTCCAGGCGAATGTAATACTCGCTGCTGACCGAGGGGCTGCGGGCACTGATGACCGGCACCACGCTGGGAGTCTCCAGGCTGTGCCCGCGCTGGGACACTTGTTCGTAGAAAGGATTGCTCCCGGGAACCGCTAGCCCGCCGTTGCTGGAGGGGTACTCCGGCGGTGCCGAGGCGGGCCCCTTCCATCTTCCCAGACGGGCCTTCTCCCACATGTATTCAAAGTTCAGCCCCCCACTGCTTTCCGTCACTGTCAGAATGTCATCCATGTCACCACCATGGAACCCGTCCAGTAGCGGGTAGGCCGAGATCTCTTCCGAAGGGCGCCGGTGGCGTGCGGAGGAAGAGGACGCAGGAGGCGGAGAGGTGGAGCGCTTGGGTTTCAGGGCGCTCCAGCGCCACTCAAAGCTCTCCTCTGCTTGAGCGTTGGAGCGCTCGTTCAACAGGTAGCTCACCTGCAGGTGTAGCTCTTCCATGGTTGGGCGATGGGAAGCCGGCAGCCAACAGGACTGCATCACCTCGTACCTACAGCAGGGCAGGGACGGAGGAAGGATAGAGGAACAGTCGGAAAAAACAGGCAGAAACAGGAGAGAGAAAAAAACCAGCTGGGGTGGGAGAAACAGCCTGGAAGAACAGTCGGGAGAAGGGAGGGGGAAACACCGGGACCTTGAAAACAAACAGAAAAGAGTTTCAGAATGGCAGTCAGAAGGGAACAAGAAGCTGAAGCTATGCCGGCGATCCCTAAAAGAACTGGTAAAGATTGGAAACAGGTGGAAAACAAAAGAAGCTGGAAGACCATGAACAAGAGGGGACAAAGGCAAGAGCTATCAGTCGGGTTGGGGGGACGTCAAACTGAACGATTCGAAAGCCAGTGGGGAGCCAAACAGTCAGAAGGGCAAGGAGAGATGAAAACCCAACAGTCATCATAAAGGAAGGATCGCTGAAGCAGCGGAACAAGTAAAAAGGCATGAAGCGCTGTCAGAAACACGAAACATCAGGAGAGGGTTGTGACATGACGACCAGCAGCAGCACAAAGGACAGCCAGGGGACAACGGGAAGACCCATCGCTCTGCATTGTGCAGGATATACACATGTACAGGTTTGGGTTCAACCCCTGGGATCTCCACTTAAAAAGGATCCCAGAGAGAAAAATCTAGGGAAGATTCCACTTGGGGAAAGCCTGCCAGGGCTCAGTAAGAACCTGACTAAATTTTGAGAGCCAAAATGAAATTCACTAAATATCTCTTTTTTTAAAATATATCTATCTATTTATTTATTTATTTCTGGGAGGGAAGCCCTGTAGCAGCAGAGAGAAGAGCACAAAGAATCATTTTAAACCAGAGGAAACGTCCCTGTGCTCTCAAGAGTCATCACCACGGAGTGGAACAGAAATTCTTCTGCCACCACCATGTCTATTCATTTTTGTATAACAGGCAAGATGAGCTCCTGTTCTGGAGGAGCTCAATGGGCTTTTAAAAGAGCTTAGTAAAAAAAAAGTTTTTAAAAAATTAAATTTAAAATGGTACGCTAACCGTGCGATCCTATGGAGAGTTAGGCCCTTCTGACCCTATTGTCGCAAATGTGCTTAGAATTTAGTAACTCCACTTAAGACTGCACTAGAACAAAGTTTAAGTCTAGTGGCACCTTATAAGACCAAAAAAGCTTTATTCCGAGTACAAGTTTTCGTGTGCATGTGCATTTCTTCATGCACCATCAGTGGTATGGGATGTACGGAGAGGAGTTGGGCTACTTTCCACTAGTGACGTCACAGACACTGTCCAGTCTGAAGAAAACAGATAATGTAGAGGTTCATCAGAAATAAAGAGAACAGCAAAGGATAGATTATTTAAAAAAAAAAAAAACCTTGTTAGGCAGTGGGAAATCAATTAGTGATAGACTTTGTTGGGGATCTGTATGATTATATTTCCTAACTTGTAATTTCACCTGTGTGACTGGGGGACGGCGACGGTGAGGCCCCGTCCACTTTCACTGACTCTGCCCCTTGGGTGCTGCAGCCCAGTCCCATAGCGTCAGGGCCAAAGTAGAAGTTACGGCCGCCACAGTTCCTACATGTGGCCTCCAACGCCATTTTAAAGACAAATCCAGTCTTTTAAAAATTCTGTGACAGACCAATCCTGATCAGGCCTGCAGTGCCGTGAGAAAAGGGGATATCTTGTCCCCTCCCACGCCTTCGTGAGCACTGAAACAGCCCGCCCCAGGAGCTTTTCTAAATGGCTGAATTTGTCTCTGAAATGGCATCCAGTTTGGCCCTCAGATCGAGAAGGGATGGGGCTTGTGGACACCCTTGCCTGATCTTCCCTTCAGGTCCTATTCTGCACTGCCTGGAGCAGGCAGCTGAATGTGTCCCCCTCGACTGCCGCCCTGGCCCTTTCAAAGAAGGCACAAGATGGGCACACACCCCCAAACCTCCCAAGAGTCACCCCCTCGAAGAAGAAGAAGAAGAAGAAGAAGAAGAAGAAGGAAGAAGGAAGAAGGAAGAAGGAAGAAGGAAGAAGGAAGAAGGAAGAAGAAGGAAGAAGGAAGAAGAAGGAAGAAGGAAGAAGGAAGAAGAAGAAGAAGAAGAAGAAGAAGAAGAAAGAAGAAGAAGAAGAAGAAAGAAGAAGAAGAAGAAGAAGAAGAAGAAGAAGAAGAAGAGGAGGAGGAGGAGGAGATTGGATTCATACCCCGCCCTTCACTTGGAGTCTCAGAGCGGCTTACAAACTCCTTTCCCTTCCCCTCCCCACAACAGACACCCTGTGAGATGGGTGGGGCTGAGAGAACTCTGACACAAACGGCTCTTTTTCAAGGACAGCTGTGCCAGAGCTTGTGACTGACCCAAGGTCACATCAGCAGGTG